GTTCTTCCAGTGGGTCAGCTTCCTTCTTGGAGAGTCCCCTTTCCCATAATAGTATTCTTATCTTTTGTATGTCATCAGATATGTTGATAAATTGTTAACAGTTAATTGTACTGAAATTTTATGAATTGGTATTCATGAATCACCATCATTTTATATACTACATTCTCATAAATAAATCCTCAAGATGATATTTGCTTTTGTAGTTAGTGCTACAAGATCCATGGGAAATAGAGTCAAACGAAATCATGTGTACAGAAGAAAAAAATGGAAAACCAAAGCACTGTGAAAATCCGACTTATTCTAATAATCACTTATGCTGGGGACAGTGCCATCATGAGTTAGCCTGGCCAAAGGTCACCCAGTAGTCTGCCTTGTTGATGTAGCTTTCCTGTGCATGGATCTGGTAGTCCAGGGAACAGCATCTCCTTAACACTTAAGAGATAACGTAGTCTCTGCAGCCTCTCACATGCCCTGCCATGTACCACTGTATCAAGACCACGGGATAAGTAATTGAATTTTAATGAACTTTTCTTACTATTTTTTTAGGATGGCTGCTCTTTTTCTAAATAGGTTAACTCTACAAACCATAAAGGCTGAAAATAATTGCATTAGAAGATGTTTGGGTAAACACATTGTGCAAAAGACAGCACCAGCACAATTGTTCCCTGCTGCTTCTGCCCCAAGGCTGTCCTTCCTAATTCATTCAAAGGCTTTTAGCACCATCCAAGACATCCAGGACGAGAGAAAAAAGAAAAAAAAGGATGGAACCACTTTTAGTAACATTGGAAGAAAAATTAATGAGCGAATTATTCACGTACTTGATGAGAAGGGCAATGATTTGGGAAACATGCACCGAGCAGATGTGATCAGACTCCTGGATGAGCGAGACCTGAGGCTGGTGCAAAGGAATCCCAGCGCGGAGCCCCCGGAGTACCAGCTCATGACAGGGATACAGATTCACGAAGAACGGCTGAGGCTGAGAGAGAGGGAGAAGGCTAGACCAAAAACTGGTAGGTATTTTGCCATTTGCTCCCTGAATCATTTAGGACTTAAAGTCAGCAGTTTAAATTCTGGTATTTACCAAGGAGCCTGTGACAATGGGGAAATGAGAAACTGGCAAATTCATAGTTCTGCCACCATCCCCAGTGTCTCTTTCTCTTCCATCCCTTATTTCTGTTCCTTTTTTCCTTGATACCATGTCCATTGTCTCTTCCTTTAAACCTGTGTAAAATGAGGGAGAAACAAGGTGAACGAACCAAAATGATGGAAACTCTTTTCTCTCTCTGGTCTGTAGCCTTGTCCCTAGAGCAGGGTAGCTAATGGGTGAAATGGAATGAGATTCCAAGGGATGGATTTGAGTTCCTTGCCCTTTCTTGGGCTGTTCATTTAACCTCTGTCCTTTGGGGTGTTTTTTTTCCCCCTCATTTCTAAAGTGGAGATGTTTGGTTAATTATCTGGAAGGACCTTTTAAACTCTGAAGTGATTCATAGAGCATCTCTCATGCCAAAGTATTTTGTTACAATATCGCTAGTAAAACTCATTTCCATATTTGGCCAATCAGCTCGTGAGGCATTTATTATTTAAGCCTCACAGAAGCCATGAATTGTATATTAAGTGAAGATGTTTATTTTTCACAGTTCCTAAAAAGTGCTGATCGTTATGAATGATTGTTCAATGGACAGCACAGTGGGACAGGAGTTGGTAGATGGTCCCAAAGCTGCTGTCATGAGGTTGTGCACCTTGAGAAAACCACACATTATCTGTGACTTAGTTTTGTAAAGCCACATTTAACAACAAGGAGGTTGACTGGAAAACAAAAAATATTCAGAAGAGACCAACCATGGGGAAATAAAAAAGCTTTTTAAAAAATGATGCTTATGGCCGGGCACGGTGGCTCAGGCCTGTAATCCTAGCTTTCTGGGAGGCCGAGGCGGGCGGATTGTTTGAGCTCAGGAGTTCGAGACCAGCCTGAGCAAGAGCGAGACCCCGTCTCTACTAAAATTAGAAAGAAATTAATCGGCCAACTAAAAATATATAGAAAAAATTAGCCGGGCATGGTGGCGCATGCCTGTAGTCCCAGCTACCCGGGAGGCTGAGGCAGGAGGATTGCTTGAGCCCAGGAGTTTGAAGTTGCTGTGAGCTAGGATGACGCCACGGCACTCTAGCCCGGGCAACACAGTGAGACTCTGTCTCAAAAAAAAAAAAAATGATGTAAAAGCATATAGGAAAAGATAATGATGGGTAATCTATATCACCCATCATCCAAATGAACAAGTGTTAACATTGTTGCACTTTCAATGTTTTAAACAAAACATTACAGAGAAATTGAGTCTTCTATACTCCCTTCTCCTGTCCTGTCCTCCCTCCTAGAGGTGCCCCTGCCCACTCGTGCTTTCAGCGTGTTAAACTCCAGCCCATGTTGTTAAACTCCAGTTACATACAGATGTATTTGTAGACAGTATGTATTATTTTGTATGTGTAAAAAAAAGATGGTGTACTGTTGTTTTCAAGATCCATGTTTATGTAATAGGTGTAGCTAATGTATTATATTAATACCTATGACATTTCATTGCAAGAATATATCATCAATTTAATGCATTTCCATGAACCCTGGGCTTGTTCTCAGTTTTTGTTATGAACACTGGTGCATATTCTAGGGTCTCTGAACCTAAGTGGGTCAAACTGCTCTCCTTAGCAGTGTATGACATTTCTTTCTCTACATCCTCATCCATACCTGGTACTGTGGTACTCTAGTTTTTGTCATGCCGATGATGAGAAACCATATTTTATTGTTTTAATTTGTATTTCCTTTCAGGATCTGAGTTTTTTTTCTGAGTTGCCTATTCATATTCCTTTATTTTTCTTAGATGGTTTATTTTTCTTTCTGATTTATAGGGTTCTTTACTGTGATACAACTTTATCCCAGGTATATTTTGACTTTGCCTTTTATTACACAGTCCCATTTTTGAGATGGGAAAATTATCAGTCTTTTTCTTAATGAACTCCTTCCCCTATCCTGAAGTCATAAACTATTCTTTTCTTCTGTTTGTTTTAAAGTTGCATTTTTCACCTGTAGACCATTAGATAGGGAGATCTTTTTCCCATCAGAAAACTCTCAGTTGTCCCAACACCTTTATTGAGTAGTCTGATCCTTCCCTGTAAAATAATTTTCTAATAGGCAGGACTTCCAGAGACACAGTGCATGGACACAGGACATAGGGAGCTTCCCCGGCTGACACAGTCTGGCTGACCCTTAGTAGCAAGGAGAGCATCAGAAGGGGAGTGAATGAGAAGAGTACTCCCCAGACACTGACCTCCATCAGAAAGAGAAATAAGAGAAATTAAGTTTATAATAAAGCTGAACTTTGTTCTTTTAAACAACCATTGTTTTGATGTTCTTTCATCATTCCATTTATTGACGATTAACAATAAATGGAAGCATTTTAGATTTTAAATAAATACCCTTACCTGGCAGGTCAAAAATTGGTACCTTTATGTTTATCTCCCCCATTTAAAAAAGTGTTTACTGGTGTGTGAAACTGAAAGTCATACGAGAGGACCGTTAGGTGGGTAACCAACTATTCTGTGAAGTGCATATGGGAAAGTTCAGGTTTCACAGCAGACTAGTCAATAGCACCATATCTTCCTGTTTCAAACTAGGACCAACCCTGACGAAGGAGCTAACTTTCTCTTCAAATATTGGGCAACATGATTTGGACACGAAGAGTAAACAGATTCAGCAGTGGATTGAGAAAAAATACAAAGTTCAAATTACTATAAAGAAAGGGAAAAACACAGATGAGCCAGAAAATAAAATGGTAAGTAAAGGCAGTTATGAGTGACTGCTTGTTTTGTTTTCTAATCTAAAAATATAGTTGTAGAAAATCTGAAAACTTTAAAGGTGAAGAAAAGTAACTGGTAAATCTACCCCATGATATCAGCTTTCCAGTTGGTTTTTAAAACATAAGCATACTTTGTATACGTTTTCTAGTATAGCATATCTTGCCATATGAAAACAATGTATTTATAATGTAAAAGCTATATACTATTCTTTTTTACAAAGTGTAGACTAACCTTTAAATAGGAAAGCTAGAAACTTTATATAGATTTGTCTTTTGTTTCCTCTTTATACTTATGAGAAGCATTATATAGTCAAACTGTCTTCTATAAAGTATATATCAGTTTACAATCCCAGGATAACTTTATGGAATATCTATTTCACTTTTAAAGTTAGATAACTTTATTACCCACTACGGACAGCATTAGTCCAGTGGTTTTGAACCTTAGCTTCACGGTAGAATCACTCAGGTCTGCGGTCCCCAACCCCTGGGCTGTGGACTGGTACCAGTCCATGGCCTGTTAGGAACCAGGCCACACAGCAGGAGGTGAGCAGTGGACAAGCGAGGGAAGCTTCATCTGTATTTACAGCCACTCCCTGTCGTTTGCATCACTGCCTGAGCTCCACCTCCTGTCAGATCAGCGGTGGCATTACATTCTCATAGGAGCGTGAACCCTACTGTTAACTGCGCATTTGAGGAATCTAGGTTGCGGCTCCTTATGAGAATCTAATGCCTGATGATCTGAGGTGGAGCTGAGGTGGTGACGCGCTGGGGAGTGGCTGCAAATACAGATTATCATTAGCAGAGAGGTTTGACTGCACAAAAACCATAATAAATTAATTGCCTGCAGACTTACATCAAAACCCTACCAGTGAGTGGCAAGTGACAATTAAGCTGCATCTGGTGGCAGGTTATATAGTAGCAAGTAAGCATCTTACATCAGTTGTAAAGCTGCATCTGGTGGCAGGCTTTAAGTTAAAGTCTGACACTTCAGTCTTCGTGTGGCCCACCCATTATTTTATTTACCACTTCCATCTGCGCCTCTTTCCCACACTGTGCACTTGTCTCAGTCACAGTTTTGCTAAGCCCACAAGCTAACCCTAGCAAAAATGAGTAAAAAGCAAAGGTCACCAGAGAGCTTTGAAAAGGGGGAAAGACCCAATGATGACACAGCAGAAGACTCTAAGACTGCCAACAAAACAAAAGCTGCATTGGTAAGAAAATACCAAGAGTCCTACTTTAATTATGGGTTCATTGCAATAGGTGATTCACGTTTTTCAAGCCCCCTGTGTATAATATGTGGTGACCAGCTGTCCAGTGAAGCCATGAAACCTTCAAAACTGCTTCGCCACATGGAGACCAAGCACCCTGCATTAAAAAACAAGCCTTTGGAGTTTTTCAAAAGAAAAAAACATGAACATGAAGAACAGAAGCAATTATTGAAGGCCACCACTTCATTAGTGTGTCTGCACTGAGAGAGCATCATGCTTAGTGGCTAACCACATTGCCAAAGCTAAGAAGCCCTTTACTATTGGTGAAGAGTTGATCCTGCCTGCTGCTAAGGACATTTGCCGTGAACTTTTAGGAGACGCTGTAGTTCAAAAGGGGGCATGTGTTCTTCTTTCAGCTAGCACCGTAACTAGACGAACTGATGAAATAGCAGAGGATATTGAGGCACAATTGTTAGGATTAATGAGTTACATGGTATGTAATCCAGGTTGATGAGTCTGTGGACATTGACAAGGCAGCGATGCTTGTTTTCATGCGATATATTTTTCAGGAGGATGTGCATGAGGATGTTATGTGCGCTTTTGTTGCCATCCAACACCACAGCTGCAGAACTATTCAAGTCTTTAAATGAATCGGTCATTTTGTGTCAGTATATGCAGAGATGGTGCGGCTGCCATGACTGGACGGCTTTCTGGTTTCACTGCTTGGGTCAAGGAGGTCGCTTCTGAATGTGAGTCTATGCACTGCATCATTCATAGAGAAATGCTGGCTAGCCAAAAAATGTCACCTGAACTAAACGTTTTACAGGATGTGATTAAAATTATCAACCACATTAAAGTACGTGCCCTTAACTCACGTCTGTTCGCACAGCTCTGTGAGGAGGTGGACGCAGAGCACACACATCTTCTCTTATGCACAGAAGTGAGGTGGCTTTCTAAAGGTAGGTCACCAGACAGAGTCTTTGAGTTACAAGAGCCACTCCAGAGATTTCTTTTAGAAAACAGTTGCCACTGGCAGCACATTTCGGTGACACAGAATGGGTCACAAAACTTCCTTACCTGTGCGACATATTCAACCTGATCAACAAAATCTGTCACTTCAGGGGAGAATGACAACTGTGTTCAAGTTGGCAGATAAAGTGCCTGCCTTCAAAGGCCAAACTAGAATTATGGAGGTGACAAGTGAACACTGGGATTTTTATGTTTCAAACATTAGCAGAGATTTTGAAAGAGACTGAGCCAGGGCCTTCTTTCTCCCAGCTGGTGCATGATCACCTATGTCAGCTTTCAGAAGAGTTTGAGCATTGCTTCCTGGTCACAAAAGACCCTGATCTGGGAAGGAATGGATCCGTGACCCATTTGTGAATAAGCCAGGTGAATTGACTTTGTGCTAGATGAGGATCAACTGCTTGAGATCACAGATGACGGTGGCCTTAAAAGTATGTTTGAGACAACTTCAAATCTCCATATGTTCTGGATTAAAGTCAAGGTGGAATATCCCGAGATTGCCACAAAAGCACTGAAAAGCCTCTTTCCATTTCCAACATCCTATTTGTGAAGCCGGGTTTTCTGCAGTGACAGCAACCGAAACAAGATTACGGAGTAGACTGGACATAAGCAACACACTTTGGGTGTCACTGTCTCCCATCACCCCCAGATGGGACTGTCTGGTTCCAGCAAAACAAGTTTAGGGCTCCCACTGAGTCCGCATTATGGTGAGCTGTGTAATTATTTCATTATATATTACAGTATAACAACAGAAATAAAGTGCACAATAAATGTAACGTGCTTGAATCATCCCCCCTCCCCCAGGTCCGTGGAAAAATTGTCTTATGAAACTAGTCCCTGGTGCCAAAAAGGTTGGGGATTGCTGACTTAGGGGATTAGTCCCAGCCAATCCAGAATTTCTTGAGCTCGTCTCTCTTTTTTTTTTTTTAATCATTCCAAGTGATTCTGTGTTAGTGGTAGAGTGAGTGTTGGGGACTGCACTCGGCTAACAATTTTTGGGATAAGGAGTTATTTTATTGATGTCTAAACCCCGTGCTTTGTACTTGTTTTGGGTAGAGGGTAGTCTGGGGCCAAATGTAGCCCCTTAGTGCCATGACAGTGGAGATTTAAAACTATTCAGCTTTCAGTGCGTCAGTACAGATTTCAATCAACCAGATTATGTATGAATTGATTTGCTAATCACTTAAATAGCAACTCAAGAATGCTGGGGTTTTTGTGAGTATTAGAGCATTAGTACTAGAAAGCATCAAAGACAGTGATTTTAAATTAATCTTTGGCTGTTTTCCTTTTTTTAGGAGGAGATATTTAATCGAATACTCCAGACAATGCCTGGAATGGCTACTTTCTCATCCAAGCCACAACCTATTAAGGGAGGAAAAGCGTTAATGTGTGTTCTTCGTCCTTTAACCAAAAAGGAAGAGAATGAATATACAGAAATTCAACAAACCCAGAAAAAAGACACTTTGAACAAAGAAAATGGAAATGAATAAAGGTTCAAATGTTCTACAGCTGTGATTTTAATAAAGGAAAATATGCTTCTGAGAGAAAATAGCTGAGCTCATTGGTCTGTGGTCCTCCAAACAATGCAGTTGATATTTAGTTGCGGGTAAGTATTGTAACCGTGGCGAGCACCCGGTCTTTCACACAGTTCAGTAACTCTCTGTTTTTAGAGAAAGGTAAGCCTTGCTCTTCTTGTTTCCTTTTAGGAGGGATATATCCACTGAGATGAGAAGCCAAACTTCGTTTTTCACGAGATTTTTTTACCTTTGGGAATAAAGAAGATAGATAATTAGAAATAAAAATCAAAATTATGTGAATTAATTTTACAATAGTTATATGTACCACCAGGTATAGATACACAACACTCCTTTTAAGAAAGACAAGTCTTCAGTAGTAGTGCAGACTCACCCAGCAGTTGAAAATACTCCCAACAGACTCCATCTGGTTTTTAATTAATTATTTTTTTTTTTGAAACAGAGTCTTGTTCTGTCACCCCAGCTAGAGTGCAGTGATATCATCACAGCTCACAGCAACCTCAAACTCCTGGGCTCAAGCGATCCTCCTGCCTCAGCCTCCTAAGCAGCTGGGAGTACAGATGCGCAGCATCACGTCCAGCTATTTTTTCGTATGTTTTGTAGCAAGGGGGTCTCACTCTTGCTCAGGCTGGTCTCCAACTCCTGAGCACAAGAGATCCTCCCACCTCAGCCCCTTTGAGTGCTAGGATTACAGGCGTGAGCCACTACAGCCAGGCCCTAAATAATTTCTGTTTTAAAGAAATAGCTTGCCTAGGAAGTTCCAACTTACTTTGAACTTCATTTTCTTCCTGTCAGGATCATGTACAATGGCATGCCTAGTGAGACTTTGCTACAATGAAAGAAAAAGAAAAAAGTTATGTTTTAAAAACATTGACATTTGGTGTCTATTAATATGAAAACACCATGAGTTATTTAAAATTTCAGCCTTCTTTCTGTTATGTGCTGTTGAGGGATGTGACTGCCTAATGCCCCACCAGAGCTAAGGAAGGATTTCTTCCTCAAATCCTGAAAATCATTACCTTTTCTAAGGATCCAGGTTAGGAATTTATATAATCCCAACCACCAGTGGCATCTTAGTTCTTTTGTAAGGAAGGGAACCTGTTGTAAGGGAACTATTCCAAGCCGAAGGAGGTTCTTTAACTGCGTCAGTTTAAGCAGTGTTCATAAACACCAGCGGGAAATCTGACCAACGTCTTGTCTTTGATAATAAAGCGACCACCATCAGCTCCCATTGTCTTCTAATGATTTGGACCTCTGCCGAGTGAGTCTTCACTAAGATTCGCGGTAAGAACCACCCAGAGTGAGTCTGCAGAACTGCACAGGCCCCTCCACTGCGTGCGGTGTCCTTACCTGGCTGGCTGCCGGAACCTGGAGCAGATCCCACGGTTCTGTGTTCCCTGGTCTCCTTGCCACCCATTCCCACTCTCAGTCCCTAGATAGTGGGGGTCTAAGAGGACACCTGAAGCATCAGCATGCTCTTATGCATAGTCAGTGTGTGATACCAAGGCCGCTGGTTCTCATCTTTAGAACGCGTAAGAATCCCCTGAAGGGTTTGTTCAAACAGATTCTGGTCCCAACCCAAGTTTCTGACTCAGCAGGTCTAGGGTGGGCCCATGAGCCTGTATTTCCAAGTTCCCGACTGACGCTCCTGGTCTAGGGCCATACTTTGAGAACCAGTGGCCTTGGCAAAGCGGGCTGTTCTGTAGCCTTTAGTTAAGAACCACCTAGCTGAAGCAAGAGTGGACGGTGTGTCTGGAGCCCACCCTGGGATCCAAGGCTCCCAGTGTGACAGCCACAGACTACAGGACTGCGTATGAGAGAGGAGCACTTACTTTCATTGCAAACGTTTTGCCACAGCCAGCATGCTCACACACAAAAGGACGCCTTTCCTCGTGAAAAGAGAGGATATGGCTTTGGAGATTAAACACAGTCGTGTAGGTTCTTCCACAGCCTTCTCTTGGACATCGATATACATCCCTGTCTGGGGCATGAGTTTTCATATGTTGCTTAAGATAATCTTTGCGTTTAAATGTTTTCTGGCATACTTCACATGTTATTTCCTCTGTTGGAACAGACAAATTGAACCAATTTCCCCAGATGTTATTACCACATAGAAAAAATACTGAACACTTAAGTAACATTCAATGCCTAAAACCTTGTCACTATACACGAATCAGAAATTTCTAAGGAACCTAACCCCAGTTTTTATCACCCAGAAAGTCTGTGTCAATTCTAAGTCTTTACATTACATATAGTCACTGTTCACTTGCCAGGGGGCAGAGGCTCTGAGCACGGTGGCTGTGGGTGGTTTGAGAAAATGAAATAGATGTTTGGTTTCCTTCCTTGTCCTCCAGTATGCAGGACACCGTTTCCCAAACCGTCCTGCAGAGCACTAGTGCCTCCCGAGATTCTACACTGCAGCTGCCGCAGCCTTGAAGCCCACTACATGTGCGTGGCGGTATTAGCTTTGAGAGACCTGGCACGGCCCTGCTCGTCTGTCCTACAGCCTTAGCACCCAGCACCTCACGCACCATCGCATTGAAACCCTTTTACTCTAAAGCACACAGTTAACGTTTCACTCTGGAAAAGCGCCCATCCGTTCTGTAGGAGCAGGTATTTATGTCACTCCATTCGTGCCTGCCTTACCTCTATGGGTTTCTCTCACATGTTTCAGAAGTTCTGTCCATGTTTTTGCCACAAAGGAACATCCTTTTTGACAATCATAGCCTGTTTTAAAAAAAAAAAAAGTAGGTTGGTGAGTGTGTTGCTTATCAATACCCAGTGCAAACACTGACCATAACTAGAAGGGAAACTTTTCCTTCCTGCATAATTTTTCTTCCACCTCCCAACAGTATTCTGTTAGTCTCTAGAGGTAGGAATAAACATTAAGAAAAGTTTGCGTTACAGTAAAACCAAACAATTGCATAGCGAGGTGCTTCACATCAGGGTTTTACCTTAGCAGACTTCACAAGATGGCGGCCTTTCCCTCTCCTGTTCTCGGGAAGTTGGGTGTGCGATGTATGGACTCCAGCTGCTTTAATCCCCTGTGTCTCCAAGTCCCATTCCCCTTCCCCTTCCTGCCCTGTGCTTGTCTGTTTTTTGCAAAAGTGTTCTAAGGTGCTTTGTTCTTGGCAGACCACCAAAGTCTCAGCAGTCACAGTGCCCACCCTCTAGTCTTGCCATCTTGTAAGTTTTATACTGCACAAAAGAAAACTGAGTACAGCTAAGGAAGAAAATAAACTAGAAGAACCCAGAGAAAAATACTGAACACTGCACATGCGCAAAGCACTTAAATTGGATCAATCAGTCAATATAACAGCCAGGCTGATTTCACCCAACTAGAAACTAAAAAGGATGAGGCTGCCTCTCAAGCTCAGCTACTTATCTCTTAAAAAAAACATTAAAAAAAAATCATAAATTCTAGGACCTAGGAAATTAGAATATCAAAAATCCTCATGGAAACGAATAATAGATTCAAGTAGTTAATATAATCAAGTCTTTTTGAAAAAAGTAACATCTGGTGGCTCTGAAGACATCAAACTATCATCCAAGCCTTTTGAACAGCCAATAAAGACAAGAACAGCATAGGTGGTAAATAGAAGAAGTTAAGAATAGGTAAAGCAGCAAAGCCTTGTATGAAGTGTAACCAGGCACCTGTGAATGGCAATGCAATGACAGAGTAGTGGAAGGACACACGCAGTGCCTCTTTGGACAAGAGTGTAAAATATGAATAAGCAGAATGGTGTCCCCCTGCCTATGGAGTCCTATCTTCTCAACATGACCACGGAATAGAAGGCACTGAGTATTCAGCATGCCCCTCAGAGTTAGTACGCCCAGGGCTGTCCATACGTACCCTGGTGGATCTTGCTGTGTCGTTTCAGCTTGTTGGGTGTGGCAAAGTGCTTCCCACATCCTTCCTGGGTACACCTGCATTAGCAACACAGGAAGTATTAGCTGATCCATTTTCAGAGAGAACTCCACTTAGGGTAAGTGGTATTTTGTCCTATTTCTCCCACCAAAGTCTCACCTCTTCCCACAACCAAATCCATCCTATAAAAATAAGATATAAAATGTAGACCTAATGACAAGTGAAGTTCAAGTTATTTGACCAGCCTTGGACCGAAATGCACTGTTTGAGAGGGAACAGTCATGTTACTTTTTTTGCTTATGTGACCAAATTGAACAGTTTTCACTTTTGTACCTCTGAAAATATACTCTACTTCCATGGCTACAGAAAAGATACTTCAAGAGGTTATCTGACTGGGCTTAGGCCAACACCACTGCCATTCTGAATTGCTTGTATCTAGTTTTCCTAATGATGCTGCACAGGGGCTGTGTGTTCCGAGAACACAGCAGCAGATGCATCAACCCTGGGTGCACAGTAAAAAGCACGTGCCACTTCTGTGCTGAAGCCATCAGGACAAGTGGCAGAGCTGCAAGCAAGGACAGGCACCGGGCATGGTCACCGCAGCAACTAAGAGGCACAGGACAGCCTGTGCGAGCAGGCTGCGCAGAGGGCTGCCAGCCCATTCCAGGTCTTGTCTCTTGTGTTCAGCCTGCGGCTGGTCCCTCTCTAACTGCGGCTGAGTCCAATTGCTTTTGTTTTGTGCTACAAGAATAATGAGTATCTTTGTAATGACATTTCATATACTTGAATATGCTCTTTGCATAGGTAAGTCATTTCTTAGCCTTCCCTTCAAGCTTAACCACAACTGTGATAATCTTACAAATTATTTTAAAATATTTCTTTTAGAGAAACAAAAGCAAAATTAAAACTTTTAAAATGTCCCTAAATATAAATATGCACACACAGTACACATTTACAGGAAAACACTGATTAGGAAACTTTCAGAACACTTGTTTCCAACCTTTGCATTTCAATCTCATTCACATCTAGAATTTAAGAGATTTTCAGCCACGTGAGTACTTACTTAAATAGTGGTTCATTGGTATGCTGGCACTGA